TTCCTCCTTATCAAATCTTACCGTTTCACGTTCGTCTGTTAACATCTTAATTAAATAATAAACAGGACGGTCAGACGTTTCAAGCTAATTAAAAGATTATGCTATCGATTTTTCACGCGACGTCTATGAAAGAGAAGTATCAGTCGATCCGTATCAAGCTTATCAGATTAATTGCTTCCTCTTTCAAAAAAAGAAAGAATCTGATACCCAGGCTATGTTGTCTTTATAATCAAAGCTACTAAATTTTCACGTGTATGTATATTTCAAACGTCATTCCCTTTGACTGAGCGTATTCGCATCCGATAAAGATCACTTCAATCATCCTTATCAACACGATACATCCAAGCATACATAAAGTGATCAGTACTCACAGTTTCCATCAGTTATCCCGATTTCCCTGCGATCATGAACGGTCTCAGTGCAACACTTGTGCTCTGCCTTGCGGTCGCCGCTTACGGTAAGCAAATACTAATATACTCATAATTAAACAACGGACTTTATACATTTATAGAAATATTGCAAGAGATTCTCAATAGACTTCATGGTATTAAAATGCATTTCAGATAGAGATATTTCTTCTATCATTTAAGGATTACAATACGTATGAAGGACACAAGACATTGAAAGTGAGTACATATTGTCACGCTTAAATGAAAACATTTTTATCTGAAATGTACTTTAATACCATAAGGTCTATTGATAATCTTTCGTCTTAAGCAAATTGAAGTTTCGATTATTATTAAATTTGGAGCAAGATTCCTAACTGAATTATGATTGTATTGTTTCGTTTTTTTAAATCTAGGCTTCCCCGGAGATGTGGAGACCCAAATTGTCGGTGGCAAGGATGCCGCAGTTGGTCAATTCCCTTATCAAGTGTCTCTGAGGCAAAATGGAAGTCACTTCTGTGGTGGATCTATCATTAACAACCGTTACATCCTCACTGCAGCTCATTGTGTCGAGGGGTACGTTTCAATTTCTATGCAATTTGCGTTTTACATGTAATTTGGAAGTTAGTTTGCCAATGAGTGCTCATAACTGTGTTTTGTTTATTAAACAGAGACAGTCCCAGTAAAATCACCGTACACGCTGGAACCATCCGATTGGACCAGCCCGGAGATATCTACGCAGCAGAGAAGATCGTTACTCACCGCGACTTTAACTGGCTCAGCCTCGTCAATGACGTGGCTTTGATTCGCGTAAATAAAAACATCGCGTTCACCAATTTGGTTAAACCAATCGCATTGGCTTCGGGCAGCAAAACCTACGAAGGATCTGCATGCATTCTGTCTGGTTGGGGTACCACCAGAGTAAGTAGAGAAGAAATA